GGAGCCTGCTCTTCCACAGTATCCTGGGCACTGTATACTGACGACGTGCGGTCTTTAGGGTTTAGGTTTTAGGGTTTAGGGTTTAGGGGCAGCATGAAGAAGCCTTAGAGGGTAGTTCTCTAAAGTAAGGGCCCCTTTAGGGTCCCTTTTATAAGGAAGAAGCCTTAGAGAGCAGGCGCCGATATGGGGTAGTTCTCTAAAGTAGGGGTCCCCTCTTAGGGGTCCTTTTTTGTAAGGGTGTCGTACCATTTTGGGGACCCAACACGGGACCCTAATTTAGGGTACTGCCCATATGGCTTCGACGCGGCAAAATGCAAGTCCTGGGATGCAAGTGACAGTTCAGCTCACAAATCGGCCAGGCAACAGGTGTTGCTGGCGATGAGGAACATGCGGTTCGGACATTTACCCAGCAGGCCCTCTGCAGCTTTTTGAAGGAAGTCGGCCACCAAGATAGTATACGCCACGCCTCTGCAGATGTTTGGGAAATTCTTCATGCAAGCGCAGACTTAATAGGGGCCAAGGCACCAGGGTGGACAGGGAAAGGATTCTGGTCCGAGCAGCATGCGAAAAAGCCGTTGATGACAATGAAGGCATCAATCAGGATGCCGGTCTTTGGTCCGAAGGCTTTGCACCACACCTCTCGATAAGTCCTGAGCGTTTTGACGTTTTTTGAAAGGTTTCCAGAGGCTGGCCCACTCATTGACCAGCTCGCGCAAACCGCTCAAGGTTTGTTGGTGACATCGGGCTGCTTCTCTGACTGAGGCGGCGGCTGACACTTTAGACGCTTGCATAAGAAAGCAATGAGGATGAAGCTGCTTCCGCAGAAAAAGCACACCTTCGGAGGAGCTGTTCAAAAGCCAACACTTTCGATACCTCACCGACCGAACACGACAAAACTTACCGAATCCTTACATCCTCGCACCCTCAACATCCCCCACAATTGCAGGGCGCCGTACCTGTTGCAGGTCCCAAACACTCCGAAACTACCATGTCAAAACCTTCCTGAACAAGCAACATCAACTGAGCAAGACGGTGTTGCACCCTGTTTTTAAAAAATTGAACCACGGGAGAACATGCGAATGCAACCAGAACAAGAAGTGAGATAGTTAGAACAACAATTGAATCCCTCCACCGTATTACCAGCAATGATAGTGGGGCTAACTATATCTGTACCAGTCGAACTAACGGTGCTTGATCACTAGCAGTGAAATAGCAAGGCTAGTGACAATTATTGTCGCGTTTATGAATGGCCACTACAAGATTAGCAGATCAGCAAAAACCATGATGATACGACTATTTAAATACAGGTTATAATCACAGAAGGGATAGTAATGAACGTGGCCAGACAAACAGACAAACAAAGGCAAACAGTGGCTGCAAAAGTAATCATGCGATTATGTGTTAATTATCATGATGAGCGAAGTAAGTAACCATGATAATAGCAGTCACTATTGCCATTATAATACTAGTATGAGTAATGGAAGTAGTAAATCCCCAACAATAACAATACAACAACGTATTAGCAGTAGTAGTCGTCGTCGTAGTCGTGGTCGTAGTAGCAGTAGCAGCAGCAGAATCTCAGAAGTGGTTAGTAGCAGCGGTAGCAGTAGTGGTAGCAGTAGTGGTAGCAGTAGTAGCAGTAGCAGTAGTAGTAGCAGTAGTAGTAGTAGTAGTAGTAGTAGTCGTGGTGTAGTAGTAGTAGAAGTAGTAGTAGTAGTAGTAGCAGTAGTAGTAGTAGTAGTAGTAGTAGTAGTAGTAGTCTGCTCTAGCCGAATATTTCTCAGAGCGAGCATGGATTAGACAAGAGTAGAGCTTGGACAGTTTTGGGTTCAGGCTTCGGGGTTTCAAGGTGTACCAGGTCGTGTGATGTTACTATCCCCTCCCTTCCTTCCCGGTTTAACACCTGCAAAACCACTGCGGTGACGGTGGTGCTGCTAGCAGATGTATTCATTCATTCATAGCTCTTTGAAGAAAGGCGTTTTTTTTCGGATGAACGCGATTGCAGGTGTTCAACAGCACACCTCGTATTCAACTGACATGGCCCTTTCTTCGCTCTCTTCTTGTTCTGTCGCGCTGGTGTCACAGCCTCATGCATCATGGCGGTTTGCTTGGTGGACCATGCCAGTAGGTCGTAATGGTCATTTCTTTTCCTGGAAGACGGCATTAGCAGGTGGCGCTTGCCAAACTGAATTCCTCCAAGGAGTCTGTTTGCATGTCGGCTGGGAGCTCGGCAGAGTGGAAGTGAATTGAAAATCAAAGCTATGGCAGCATTTGTGATTGAGTGCTGGGGATATCCATTCCTAGCAAGTGCCCTGCATTCAGTATGAGGATCGTTTCAGCTTTCCATATGACCTGCCAGCACGTGCAATCTTGAAGAGCTTCATCACTAGTGGTTGCTGACAACAGTTCTTGGAAAGCAGCTCTTGATGGCTGCAGATGCGCTCGAATTCTGCTGACTCGGACCGCGTCAATACGATGCAACTGGTGCCGGCCCCAGCTGTGATTTCAGGAACGGGATGGCGAAGCCTCTCGGGATCTGCCATGCTTTCGACATGCCAGTGCCAATATAGCGAGAGTTGGTTGCATCGGAAGCTCGAGTCCTATAAGAAGCTTTCACACGATCGAAACCGAATCAGATGGCTTGCTGTTTCTGTTGTCAGGACACTATCGTACCCGAGAGTGCGCAGGCTGGATTGCACGGGTTTAGCTGGTTGCAACGCACATCCAATGCCATGTTCTGTCCAATGCTGTAGCGCTCCGAGCTGCGAACTCCTGACTCTTCGAGTTTCGGCTCGTCCAAGACGAGGCTTGGGTTCTGAAGGAATATGCTGGGTGGAAGATCCACATGGGTCCTGCCATAAGGGGCCACGGCTTCTTTTGCGTTCTTCATGCGTGTGTGACTGTGTGACCGTAGAATACTGTATATGTGTAGTGCAGTATGCCCGGCCCACCATCTCTCCCCAAACAACAGCTCCAGCTAAGCGTTGTGTCAGGCGCAGTCCCAACCAGTTCAGCGACCGGTGCCTTTGGCTGGCAACCCTACGCTGCAACTCAAAGCTCACATTAGCATGCGTTGCTGTGCATTTGCTGTTTGCATCGGTCCTGGCCATTTAGTTCAATTTGGCGGCTTCCATGGGATCATCGCCAAGCCACCCATCAGCCTTGCCTCCACTCGTAATCAAGGTGCAGCGCCGCCCGCGGACCGGCAGTCGCTTGACAGTGCCCTCCAGATCCGGTAGCAAGGCTTGGAAAACTTGCGTTACAAGCTCATGCCGTTACCATGCGTTAGGTTCCTGACGGCATCAACACTAGGTCGTGATGTTCATGGCACTGTAGGTCTTCACATCAAGCAGATAGCCCGAACAAAAGGCACACATTGATGTTCGGAAGAAAGAGACTGTCCTAGTACATTGAGCGACCAGCGTGTCTGTGCACAGAGGCGAGGGGGCAGTCTGCATACTGTACCGGTGTAGTTCAGCTGGGGCTCGTAGTCTATTGGCCAAGATTCTGCGACGATCTACGATCCTGGCACACAATGCTAAGAACAGAAGTCATGATGCGCGTGAAGCCCTGCGTCATTGAGATTGAAAGAACTCTTCGACTCTTCCCAATGTCAGGAAGCGGTACGCCCGGCACCTCCACCACGGCACGAGCAAGCAGTGTCTTGACCACGTAGTAGTAACGTCTTGCGAGTCGCGCGACGAATCGTTGAGTGGTTTTCCAAGCGAAGCGGGGCACCACTTAAGTCAAGATTGAGCATGCAGCTGCTTTTTCAGGAGTAGGTCTCGGCTTTATATTGTCCAGTGCAGGGACGACTGTGGGATGGGCTTCGCCGCCTCATGTAGTTGAAAAGGACAGGCTAGGCGAGTCTGTGAGATGATACCGTCCACATCATCCCCGCTCGAAGGAGCACGGATAAGATTGCAATTGCTGCTGGAAACCATGATGCTGATGCTAATGGTGGTGATGCTGGTGGTCACGAAGAAGATCTTTAATATGCGAGAACAGAGGGTTGGCGAAGGAAGTCTCGAATTCACACAATGTAGTCCCAGACCGGCGACTTGTCATTCAACAGGTCTCGATTGCCGGGGGAAGCGACTGCATGTCTCCTTGTCATGTTCGGGTGAAATCCGGTTCTGCATTTGTGCATACAACGTGTGGTGTGGGTGGTCGGGTATGGACGTGCATGGGGACGCGTGCGCGTGTGTGCTTGTGTGGGTGTGGGCCTGGGTGTGGGTGGGTGTGTGTATATATTTGTATATATATATATATATATGTGTGTGTGTGTGTGTGTGCGCGCGCATGTGTGTGCGTGTGTGTGCCAAGCCCTGTTGCAAAGGGGTAGGACAGGTCTTGCATTTCAGCTACAAGGGGCACCTGGAGCTTGGATAGGGCAGGCGCCAATCAAGACACCTATCCAATGCTCGTGATATCAAATCCGGACGCGGAACTGACGTAGGATTGCGACTTGCTACTCCCTTAAAGGAGTCTTCCAAGTTTGTTTTTCCGACCGGCTCCGGGTGCGGTGCAGCCGCTTGATTCGAAGCTGCTTTCAACGATTCCAGCCCGTCTGACTTTTGCTTCGACATTTTTGATTTGACATCTGCGAGAAAACATGCATGCTCATCTGCAATGCATGACAAGTGCTGTCCGAAAGGCCTCATCCCAAGCATCAACATACGGACGACGCAATCGAAGGGCCTCATGACGTGCATATATGTATACTGCAGACCTGTATGTAATATATCTGTGCACAAGCATAAGATATCCGTGATCACCCAAATCAGGATTGCATACACGCGTATCTGTCTAGATGTGTGTGTGTGTGTGTACATATCTCTGCATGCGTGCGCGGGCGTGCATGCGTGTGTGCATGCATGACTGCGGGCGGGCTTGCGGGCATGCATATGACGTGTTCACATACTTGCACGAGCTAACGTTCCGGTCCTTCCATCCATCCATACATGTGTGGCTTTGTTCAAGACTTTGCGTTGCGGCAGAGGGGCTAGGATCGCGGTGATGAACATGATTGGACATACAAGTGACATATTCTTGTGCCATGCCGTGGAAGGACTGCGCTTCACTACATACCTTGTTTGTGCTAGAACGGTGACAACGGGCAGATGCGTGTGGCGACGATGTCGAACGTAAACGAATGTGTTGGCAGGGCGCTGACGGTGTGGGTGTTTCATGTGTCGGTAGTGCAGAGGATGTTCAATGATTTTTCTTTACTGGCCGAAAGTTATCTGCACTCATCCTTTACCGAAGGCCAACACGCCGTTGGGTTACGGCCAGACGATCAAGTCCTGTAATTAGCTTTAAAAGTTTGGGAGATGTTATCTGCTGTCGGCTTGTAACTTCACTTGAACAGGTATTCAAAAGACACATGCTTGTTGCCTACTTTTTAGCCTGATGCTGCTGGGTGGGTAGCGAGACTCGACGGTGCCAGCAGTTGTGTCTTTTAGGCAGGCATCTCCTATTCCTACAACGGGAAAAAGGCGAGTAGCTGTATCTCCTTCAAAACCGGAAGACAGTTTGTCGATTGTCAACTCTGTCGGCGCTTCTCAGGTTCCGGCACGCCCTGACATCCGAGTCGAGTACAGCAAAACCTGGCAAACAGCATCCGGGACTTCATGTACCTAGTAGCATGCCGAAGCCCAGATCTGGCCATATCTGGCCCAGTTCCAAGTGGTGATGTTGGCCAGTCTTGATGTAGCAGCGTTTTGGCAAGCTTCCGCCTTGCTGTGGCGCAGCACAGCGTTGGTGCAGCTTGCAGACAATCAAGGCGCTGGCGGTGCTGATGGAGGGTCGCAAGGAGAAGTGCAAGGTGCGAGAATTCGTTGATGGGGTCGATCAATCTTCTCATCGCAGTCTCTGTCTGTCTCCGTCTCGAGAATACTTCAACCTACTTCCATTCCAATTTCGAATCTTGCTTCAGAGATTTCGTCGCATGTCCTCGTGGAAAGGACCTCCATTGTGACGCTCTCTCGGATCTGGGTTTCGATGGGCCTTGGAGATGGCATCGGCCCGAACAACCCTGCGGTTTCTGTAGGTGTTTAGAGAACTGAGCATTCACAGACCCAGCACCAGCACCCGTAGCGGAACGATTGTAGGACAAGGCAGAATACGCCAAGCGTTCGTGTATATGGCGACGTGTCATGTGCAACGACGTCAAGCTGACCAGCAGGTTTACAACCGCCACAACCGGCTGGTGTCGCTGACGGGGGAGCTCGAGCAGCGCGACTTCCCACTGAAGGTGGTTTTCTTGGAGGCCACCTTTGTGTGTGTGTGTGCTCGTGAGAGAGCGCGCCAGCAGTTTTAACGGTTGGACTCGGAGCCGAGACGACCTCCGTTCTTGACGTTGGCCTCCGCTGCCTCTCACAACACGTAGCCGTAGCAAGGGCTTCGTTTCGTGCTCTGTCAGGAGGTGGCTTCTATCGTCTACTGCTCCAACTGGGAGATTATCCTCGAGAGCTTCCTGGAAAGCAGTGACCTGGAGGCCGGAGGATGCCGGCGGATGCCGGAGGCCACTCAAAGCACTCCAGTCCTTCTGTCATCCGTAAAACACTCAGGATTACATCATTCTGGACCGCAGCAACAACGAGTTTCTTCTGGACTCCGCGCCCGAGCGGGAGACCAGCCGGCAGATACTGTAGGCCGTCACACTTCGTTGCCTGCAAAAGAGCAAAGAGTGCTTTGAGAAAGCTTTGCGCCTCCCCCGAAACGGGGATAAGTCGGGTCGATTTTCCCAAGACTGGCGGACTGGCCCTCTGGCGAAATCTGAAAGCTCTTCACACAGCCGAGGACTGCTTCCCCATCAGGCTGCTGGCCAAGGCAGCTTTTGCCGGACCTTGTACGGACTTGGGACTGGATTATATCTGGTAGCAAGCAGCAACCAGCACGCATCTTCATGCAGGTGAAAGAGCAGGACCCTCTCTCCGAGAGTGTCGAGGTGGACATACAGCGCTCACGCCACGGCAGCGTATAGCTGAGCACCTTGAGCAGGGCTGTCATGTGCTCTTGCCGGTACACCGGGGCGCTTAGTAGGCAAGACATCTCTAGGACCAAGATCTGGGCCGCATGCCTCGGTGGCAGAACATTTTCTGTTGTGCTTTCAGATCCCAGGCACAAAGTGCTGGACAGTAGGCGCACGCCTGGACTTCAAGCCGATGGTGGTGTCTGCGTTTCTAGTGGAGTACATGTATCGGTCAAGTCTGTAACTCCACAGTCGCATTAGCAGCCGGGTGATTGTAGCATGTCAGTCATTGCTTCAAGTTAAACATACACTTGAATTGCGCGCCACAGCTTGCAGCCATCGATTATCACTGAAAGCATCGCTGTGGATAGCTTTCAGGCTAGGACGTTACCAGACTTACCAGACCTGAGATTTGGTCGGCCTATCAGCCGTTTGATCTCTCCGATACAGCCGACAGCGCGACGAGCTCGTTACGAGCAGCGCTTCGGAAAGGCGACGTTGTGTGAATTCATGGGCTCGGCTGCAGTCGTACCCCCACATCCAGGCTTCAATCGTTCCGCAGAGTCGTTTTCATCAGGCCGATGCCGTCTAGCATTGAGCGAATACTCGAGCTGCCCACAGATCAACATCGTGCTCATACAATCTACTACACACACGGCAGAGGGTCCGATACTGATACTGGGTAGTCTGTACTGTCGGGCAAGTTTATGCGGGCAGAGTTGAAGTGTGATGCCTGCGACCAGGAGCCGTGCTGCTACAGATTTCCAGTAGCAGCCAGTTGCAACATGCGATGCTAGTTCCGTTCCTCACCGCATGCTGCACACTTGTGGAAGCCATCATAACGGGACAGACACGTTCATAAGTCTTCTGCGGGAAGAGTGTGCTTCCATAATCTTCCACAAGGCGCGCCTGCTTCTGGTGTCTGCGTTTGCTGCAGTTCTCACAGAGCTAGCGGTTGGGATTGTTCTGATTCTACTGGGCTCGTGTTTGGATTTTGTATGCACCCGTAGAAAGGCCGTGTTCTGCATCTGCAACGGTTTTAAGAAGCAAAGCATCGTGCCCCCAATCACAACGTAATCCAGTTGGACATGCGATGCTCGGGTGTGACGAACGCTCAAACAAGCAAACTTTGTACTGGGCTCACATTACGCTGCTGTGTATAGCTCGCGACAGCTCGCGTCAGCAGCCAAGAGAGGACTCTGTGTTAGTCGAGCTTGATGCCAATGCCGCCGCGCACAGAAGGCTTTGCACCACCTGTGAAACAACCTGCTGCTGTAGTATGTTGCAGACAGCGGCCACGGTGATGTCTTTTGATCAGGGCAGCAGACAGCCTGTCTCATGATCCTCTGCAACTCGCTGCTGCGAATGCGCGCGCGAAAAGGAATCTGGATCCTTCTTCACTACGGCTTTCGTAGCTAGACGCAGTATTTTGAACTCAAGCCTTTGTCCGTCCATTGCGACGAGTACTCGCGAATCTCCAAGCTTGTTGTTTGAATTATGCTTATCGCGGCCTGCTTGTACCAGACACCCCTTCCCCCTTGAATGCAAGGGTCGGGTGTCGGGACTCCATTGCAGGGCGGCTTGTTGTGGGTCGTGTCTTTTCGGTGCGGAAGGTTTGGGCTTTTGCCAGGCGCATGATCTTCGCATGGGATGACGCACGATCCCCTCCACTTGCACTGTGTGCTGTCCCGTGCGGCTGCAGGACCGACTCAATCTCGGCCACTCTGTATCGATGCGGCTCATTGTGCCGCTCGATGCGAGCCCAGCGCCCATGAAGTCACAGGCGCCAGCCTGAAAGCCTTCCTCAAGACCGGTTCAGGGTCAGCCTTTGGAAGTGAAAGGACACATGGAGTTCATTGTGGCTACCCATGTGCCGTCACTGTGCAAAGTCGCACGTTATCGACGCGACTGTCTTCCAAGAGGGATGACCGTCCGATGTTGCTTCGGGTCCGCTTCGACATCGCCAAATTAAAATGTCACGGTTGCTGCAGTGTTGCCGCTGTGGCGAAGGGCACACTGGCCAAGATTGAAGACGACCTCTTCGAAATCCTCCATGGGGCTCCTTGCCCGATGCATGTCAGGTTCAGTGGAAGGGCTCCTTACTCCCGCTTGGGTTGATAGGATGAGCTGCATGCCCCATTGCATTCATGCGCTTTGAACTTTCGCTCGCTTGCAGAGAGGCCGTGGGTTGGGTTTTATGGTTCTTCTGTGCACCACGGCTCAAGCCTATGACACAGCCTCTATACTCCCGAGTCTGAACTTTTGTTATTCCCCACTGAACGCCAAAAGCACCTCCTCTACCTTCTGTCACTCCTGTCACCTGTCAGTAATTATGTTGCCAAACGGCCTGCATAGTATACAGTCATAGTTATAGCTGCTAAGAGACAGCAGCCAGCACCTCAGGATGAGGCCAGCTTCACAGGTGCCCGCAACTTGATCCACTCCATATTTGAGCAGGCCCATGCTGATATTGACGGGTGTGCTGCTCGAGTCAATCTAGTCTTCGGTGTGGAGGTGCACCCTTTATCTTTCTGATCGAGTGTGCTCTAGTATGAACAAGCATGCCGCTTCGATTCAGAGCTTACCAAAGTGTAGCCATCGGCAGGTCATCTGCCCGATACGGGAATAAGTACGTTTGAGGTGATACAGCATGCAGGCTTGGCACCGCAAGTCTCACTCAAGTCGCGAGTCACAAGTAGAATGAGTGCATTGTGTTCCGAACCACTTGCAGAGGCAGGGAAAGACGAGACTGACTCACTGCTGACCCTTGTTAAGCAGTAGATGTGGCCTGTTCTTTCTATCCAAGAATGTCCAGCCTAATTCCTTCCTTTCCCCAAGGAAGACATGTGGGGAAGTCCTGCCGCTCGTGGAGGCCTCATCACATGTCCTGCGAGGCTAGGAGTTTTGCATTTTCGCTCGAGCGGTGTTTGACGATGGCCATTCAATCACCTTGCTGTGTTCGGCTGCAAGTCAAAGCTTGCTTTGGTTGGTGGCAGACAGCAATTGAAGCACTTAACAGCAGACGTGTCGGCATGGAAGGAGGGCAACCTCATCACGGCCCAAGTGCGTCCGCAGGAGAAGCTCGAATTCCGGGTCGCTGCTGGCCCGCATGGAGTGCAGGAAAGTCAGAATTCAGGAGAGCCGTGCCGTTGCTTTCAGAGGCAGTGGGCCTTGATGTGCTGTCGGCGAAGGGTCTCCCCGAAGTCCTCGTCAGTGACCTGCTTGCAACATTTTGAGAGAAGAACAAATCTCTGCTAGAGTGTGCCCCGGAATAGTTGTGTACAGAAGGAGCAGTGGATCTGAACCTGGGCAGCGATGGCATCGTAGTGACACCTTTCGAGCGACTTACAAAATTCTGTCAACAGGCAATTCCACTCCAAATACTGTACCAGATTTCAACTATCTGCTCGTGACTCGCTGTAGTTGCCACAATTGTTGCGACTCTCAATTCAGTTGCGCATCACGTGGGTTGCCAAGTGCCAGGCCACTCCAAGCTCAGCTCTCACCTCCTGTTTCAGCCGAGGCCTCTACAAACTGGATGACGAGGTGCTCTGGACACGGTTGCAGCTCTGGAGCGGGGGAATTGGGGGTAACCGTCTGTCTCTGTCTGTGTGTCTCTGTCTCTGTGTGTGTGTGTGTTTGTTTGTTTGTTTCATCGCTGAGGATCAGCGAGGAAACGCGCTGCACTTCTACGAGGTGGACGACTTCTCGGAGCGTGTTTTGGCAGGAACTCCACCCCGCAGGGTGCATACTATACTATATGGCTAAATACCCCACTCTACGAGGTGGTCGTCTAGACTATGCTATACTAGCCGTGTCTTCCCGAAGTTCGGTCAAACTCCGGGAAGTGCTTGATCCCAAATTATCAACCAAACGTCGTAGCTGACAGAAGAAGTTCACCTTGGATCGCACGTCCGCCCGCGAAAGGCCAGCAAGTGCAGAGGTGTGTTGTGCATGCTAGTTAATGAGTATGGATAGCTTTTCGGGGGAGCACACCTACCGACATGCCTTTACTCCGTTCCACTCCCTCTTTCAAATCCTCCAACAGCTCCGCGGCTTGGTGGCCGCTGTGTCGGAGAGAGCTCCAGAGACATAGATAGAGACGTTCTTTTGCGCTAATTGTGACTACGGCTGTTCTGTTCTGGTTGAGCCATCTCTGCCGACGGAACTGAACCCCCTGGTTCAGCATGTGTGCACCCTCCACAACGGTAAGTGCCGGGGCACTTTCCATCGTAAGCGTGGAGTGTATGCCTTCGAGTCGGGGACATGTCGGCCTGTGAGTGCTGCTGGGGCAGATTCCAGATGCTTGTAGGTGCACTGATTCTATCATCATGGTAATTTTGTGCCGATGGTGCATCTCCTTTGTGGCAGCAACTGTCAAAAGTGTCAACCATTTCGCCCATGCACACTAGTGCGGGGAACACATATGTCTGCATTTCATTATGCTTTAGTTTGCCTTTCTCTGGAAAACTCGTTGTGATGTTTTCACGCCTTCCTATTAACCCCCAAATCTTGGGTGGGCCATCGGTCCGGGAGGTCTTGAACGCCTTCCAAGCCATCCAAGCCCATGAGAAAGAGAGAGGCGCAGAGAGATATACCCGTATTGCCTTGCCATCCGTGCCCGTTGATTTTCCCAAGCCGGCGGGGACGTGAGCCACGTTGGGATACAGCTAGCAAAAGGACGTCAGCTTGATTGTAGAAAGTGCTTGACTGCAGAAGGAGCAGCGCGGGGATCGGCCATCGGATGTGTGAGCTTTACCGTAACCTTGCCGTGATACCTCTGGCCGTTGCTGCTCCCGACCTGCTTGGAACCCTTGCCAATCCTTCTTACTTCTTACTCGCTGCAACTGCACCTTGAACCATAGCGACCTGGGACCCAAACAAATCGCGGCTGATGTAGACTCCGTAATTTGGATCCGGGGCTAGCCTTTTCCTGAACCGTGCTGTCCGCGTTGCAATCCCTTGGCGACCGAACGTTGAAGAGTTGTTCTAGTGTCATGGAGTGCGTAAGCGTTTTGATACTCGTCCCTTCATGACCAGGGGCTCGCAGTGCCACTCCTTGAGTGGGGCACCGATTCCATTGAGCTGGATGGAAGCATGGCTGGGGAAATCGGGGGCACCACCTATGTTTCATGCCACCAGACTCGGACGATGGGCGATATGCCTTGCAAGCAAGCAAGAGAGAGAGAGAGAGAGAGAGAGGTGCATACCATTTTGGCTCAAGTACTACACCTGCGCTTGGGGGCCTGTGCCGCCCTCTTGCACAGGGGGGGGGGAGGGGGGTTAACTCGAGGTTGTGCCCTCGAGGGAGCCTGCCCTCTCAACCTAGTGGTGCTTGAGCTCCACGCCTGTCGCCACTGGCTTAAGGGGGGGCCCCAGTCCTTTCCGCGCCTTCTCCTGAACCCGAAAGAGGCCCTTTTTTTGAAGGTGGCCCTCTAGTAGGGGGACGGAGCATACTACTTGTTTGTGGAACCCGGGGAGATCAACGTGGACTACCTGGAGGTGCCATGGCGAGCT